ACATTTTTTTTCATTATGCGCTATTCGCGCTACTTTAAATTTTCTTCCTTGGCTTTTGTAAAACAAACTACACTACTTACCCCGGAAATGACTTTAAGTACGAACTTGACACAGCTCTAACCTGCGCACGAGCACCGTCTTGTTTAATTTTTTATTAGTGATAAATGTCCATATATTAGTATAGTTTGTAAAGTATCTCATAAATGATTATCATATACCGTCCTGAACGAAACTTTTTGACATGGAACAATTATTTGAAATTCTAGATCAGGTTTTTTGTGAAAATTTAAATGAATTAAAGCAGGTTTCTTTTCATACGAAATAATAAGCTGCTACCATTTCAGTTAAATATCATTTCTTCTCTTTTTTCTCTTTTTGTAGTCTTCTTATATCTCAGATCAGTGGTTACGGTACTTTTTACATTTGGATGGGTTTAACCGTTAGGATATGTTACTTACTTTCTTCATCCTCCTTTCGTGTATGCATATTTATTTTCTAGAACACATCTGCAGATGTTTCACACTTTTAAATCACACATCTAAATGTAAATGATATTTTTGATTAAGGTTACATTATGTTCAACTGATTATTAAGTAATAGAATATGAATATAAAAGTCAACAAAAAGAGAGCCGTTGACATAACGCAGCTCCCCTCTATGGTAAGTAATGTGTAGCTAAACAAAAACAATGCTTGGTTAAATATTTTAACTTAGTATTCGGGTGCAGAAAAAATGAAAATATCTCGAAAATACAAAAACTAATATCGAATATACGAGGCGACATTTTACGGTCTCCAAACAGCACAAGCAAAACAAATGTGATTAATGTGACAAAAAAAAAGAAAATAAAGAAACTCTCAAGAACACCAAAAAAGGTAAAATTAAAAATATTGCAGACTCAGTTTGAAAGAGCCATTAGTGATAATTGCAAACTACCGTTCTCGCCATCAGCACCATCTGTAGCAGTATTCAATATCTAAACATGTAGATCTAATGGTGAAATTTGTAGATATCTACGGATGTGTTCTTACGGCGGTGACCATGGGCTTTCAATATGTCCCTTAAGAAATTACTACTACGCAAAAGCATTAAATTCAAATGCTTAACCTGAAATTGATTAAAATAAAACCATCGTCCAGGAATGTCAATACGGTTATGAAGTGTTGTGAAGGTACCCCTCTGTGTTCCTTCACGTGTTTTTCATGTCTGTATTGTTACTTGTTTGGATGTTTACATGTTTTGTGATGACTGTCTTGTTGGATTGTCGTTGACGGTTGGTATTTTCTCAATCCCCCCTCTCCCATTTTTTACACGCCCCCCTCAACCTTTTCACACTTATCCCTTTAATTTCTTTATTGGCCCGTTTTAGTTTATATTATTTCACATTACATGTCCCACTTCTTACACCCTTATGTCCACTCCAGGTTTTAGTTTGGTTCCTTTTGGGTGCCCTAATTGAGTGTGTCGGGGGCCGCCTCCTGTGAACGTTGCCTTTGCCTTGTTGATCTTTATATTTTTTTAATGTAATGAAACAACGCTTTGTTTTGAGTCAGCACTTAATCCGTCGACAGTAAAGACAACTGATCACGAATAAAATAATTACTCAAAACATTTGCCGAAATTAGAAAGGATGACAACATTTTACAATAGATTGTTTCCATTTTTAGAAATTTAAAGTTTTTTTTACTGTATGAAAATCAATTCAGCTAATTTACAAAACCATTTAAAAGATGACAGTTGAAGCAAAGTTCTTTTTTTTTTTCAAAATAGCAAAATAAAAGTCAAGTCTTAAAATAACGCACGCGCCAATCACGTCAGTAAGTAATAGCATGTCTTGAAGTAATCAAGATTTATAAAAAGCAACAGTTATCTATAAAAATGAAAGTTTACTTCTTTTAAAAGAAGTATACGAGAGGTCATTTTGCAGCTGTTGAAAATACTCCTCGAAATCGCTATTCACAAAACAATGATCAATTTATACATTTTAAAGGATGTATTCACGAACTAACATTGTGTTTTTACGAAATAATATTTCATTTTTACGAAATACACTTAATGAAATGTTATTAAATTTTTACTACGTATGTACACTAACGTTAATGTGTATTAGTTATACAACGTAAATTTAGGTCATATAAACAATTTTTTGTTGTTGTTGTTCTTGTTGTGTTTTCATTTTTAGTAGAAATTTTTGTTTTGGTTTGGTTTGGTATTTCGTTTGTGTGTTTTTATTTACGTTTTGTTGTTTTTGTTTGTTTTTTTTTATTTTGTGGGGGTGTCACTTTCTTTTTCTAACCTTTTCCCTGATATAAACGTGTTTTGACGGCTTTTTGGACATGTGACAGGTTAAAAGTGGCCTCAGGTCGATCGTAAGGTGACGTGTAACCAACGCTGAAAAGCCTTTTACTTTATCTCATTGCATTGAGAAGTTGCAGCACTTTGAAATCAGTTTTGATGAGAAAAAATGCAAAATAGTGATTTTTTGCAATTGTGACACTTACCCCCGTTGTCATGATAAAAGGAAATTTAAGATTGAGCATGTTATTACAGAGGTAATGGTTCAGTCAACATATGTGCCAAGTTTCATCAGTATTGAAGCATTTTTTATAGTTTTATAGCAGTTGAAACTTGTAACAGGAGGCTTTTCAATGAAAACGTCCATTTTTCACAAAATGCTCATGGGGTAAAAGGTTAATTGAAATTAAAATTTAGCTAGTTTTATTCACTTCTGTTTTCACAAGGAAATTTACAAATATTCAACATCTGTTGTTTTGATGAAGCTGCTAGACAATAATCACACTTTTCCTTATATATGTTTTTGTAACAACTGTCTTAAAAGACTGTCAATATGTTCAAAAAATGGTTGTTGTCTCACACGTGTTAAATTCATATAAACGTTTGCTGCAAATTTTTCCTGTTTGAATCAGCTCCCAATTTATAAAACAAATGAGTAATGAAAGACCTACAGTCGAATATTAATTGTTTATATGAAAAATAAACATCTTGAGAAGTGTCCTAAAAATATTTTGATCACAAGACCAGCTCATGTGTTGTTGACTGGCGGTGCCAATGATACCATTGGTTCGCAATTGGTATCAATGTTTCAGTATAGGTAACATAAGTAAAACTCTAATTGCTGCAAAATGTGAAGTTTCGAATTAAACATCTTTCAATTAAATGTTTATTTTGAGGTCAGTGCGCATAAAATGTTTGTACCTTACTTTAATGAAAGTCCTAAGTACCAAATGATTAAAATAAATATATTTTACAAGTCATAATGACAATCCTTTTAAACATTGGTGATTCTCGTGGACAACCATCAGCTGTGTTAAGTACAGGCTTAAAATATCACAAGTAGATACTTTCAAAAAAATTGACATTATCAAAAGTTGAAGTTTTAATTCAAGTAGCTGATGTTATTAATGCCATAATATTAACAGTATCTAACCTCACTCACATCTTTCATATCTTTTGTACGAGGAAAATACTATTGATAGACATGTAAAAGATAAAATATTCATTTTTTGTCTTTATATTGTTCCAAAAAAAGCTTGCCATGCCTTCGTATATAATTAATTATTTGAATTGTCATGGAGGTGAATATACTGCACAAATAACGGGAAAACCATAAGCCTTTATTTCTTTACTACCCGAGCCCTCACCCAAACCCCAACACCAACGCCCCTCACTCCTCCGGTCTTAAATACACATTCTCATATAATTTAATTAACATTAGAACTCAAGTTTGAATTTCAACAAAATGTTTCCGTACAATAAATATTTATGTTTTTACTCTTTCCGTCACTTCAATATAGCCTTTTACCTACATTCTGATTGAACACGTTTAATCACGGAGTTTGTTAGTATAAATTTCTTGTTACTAGACCTCGTTTGTAACATTTTGATTTTATACGTAGTGCCTTACCTTAGCTTTTCACATTCACTCTTTTCATATGATTTAAAAAAGAAACGCACCCTTTTAACAAATACAAATGTCCGTAATTCTGAAATTTCCTATGGTTATTTGTTAACTCGTCAAGTGTTTATCATGCTACTGTGTGCTACTGTTTTCATACAGTTATATAGCCAGGACGATTTTTTGTTCACAGTGGTAATGGTGAGTGCGCAGGTAAAAGTCAAAATAAGTTATATTTTGTCATACATTTGTTCATTTCTTTATTTGCCTATGCAAAAAAATTAATAATCCGCTTGGCTCACTTGTATTTTTAAAATACCGTTCGGACTTTATCGGTAACGTTTAAGTTTCAAAAACAGACGAAGAGGTCTTTTTTATAATTAAGATAGCTGAACTATTTCATCCTTAACTGTTTTCATTATCAATTATTTGACCAGTTTCCACTGTAATAGTCATGAAATACATGACTTATTGAACTCAATTTGACAACAAAATGCTCATTAAGTCACTTTAACCGTGCAATATGATGAAAAGAAATAAAATGGAAACAATTATGCTTTATAATGGTATTATCTCCTTTGCAATTAAAACCCCATCATCCCTTTTGTTTAAACATTTTAATGAGATACGGTTGATCGGTGACCTTATTTTTTAGTTATAAACCCTTTTATCTTTGCATTGCAGTCGCCTTATTCACATTTAACACGCAAGCCTATTTTTATGAAAATTTACAAACTGTTCCATCTACATGATCTTTTTTCATGTCAGCAAAGAGGTTTTTATCTATAATTTCAGACCACTCGCTCCATGGGTTGTGAAAAAGAATGCAATTCTCAAAACCTGCCATGTATTTTCTAACTTTAAAAAAAATATGTACACACATGTTCTACACTTATCTTGAGGCGTGAAGTTAATAAAGTCCAATTTCAATTTTGCTTTGACTTCCTCTTTATAATAGACAGTATTTCTAATTAGTCATGAGTCTAGTTGATGTTTGATAAGTTTCCTTTCTTCTTATTTTATGATGCAAGCTATTGTTGATATATACTTCCTTTTTGCTCATAAGGAAATACTTAAACATATATTTGCCGTTTTCTCTTTCATTTTGTTATAGTATGATAAGATATTTTGATGGATTAACTGAAATTAAACCATTAAACCGAATGGATAATATTTGTGTGTTGCTAACTTTATTTCTTATTTTACCAACAATCGGTAACTATTATTTGTTTATTTCTTCTTATATAATATTCCTAGTCATTTCTTTTGCATTCGTTAGTGCCTAAAATTCAAGATATGATAATACTTCCGACACTTTTTTTTTGTACCATTCATTAGCATAGTGATTTTTGTGAGATTTTGATTCAGCGGGGCGGGGGAATTTGTAGTTACCGAAAGACCGGAACTGATAAGGGTCCTAGGTATACACCAGACAGAGCCTATAACTACTGCGACTAAAGAGTTATGTAAATCTTATGTCAGAAAAACTGACATGACTGTATATTGAATCGTTAATTATATATAAAATTTATGTCAGACAGACGACTTATCTTCATTTTTGATTGTTATGATGACTGGTATGTGATGTCGTATTTTTGCCCAGCGGTGCACCAGAGAAAACACAAAAATAAGTTTTTTTATTCTTGCGCCCCTCGGAGCAAATTTAAGGAATAGCACAAATCAGCCAACAAAGATTGTAGGATTTTCCTGCGTGTTGAAAATGAAAAACGTGTAAGATACCTTTTAGTATCTTATTTATAAAGTGTTTTGAAACAGATAAAACAAAGTCATACATATAATATTTAAAGAATACAAATACTACTTGAATAAAGATTATTTATCAAAAGGGTCGACAAGTTAATCACATATTATTGTTCATTGAAATAAGAGGGATAAAAGTTAACGAAATCATTTAGACAATACAGAACATTTCGAGTCATCTGTGAATGATGAATGCGTCTGGAAGAAAGGTTTTCGAGAGATTGTTATAGTCTTTGTTCTAATTTTACAACTCATAAGAAGGTCTAAATTTGAATATTTTTGACTGTTTTGTTTCGTACAATGTATTAAACATTGGTTTTTGTCGCGTCTTTGTTGGTATACGAATAAATAGGTGGATGAGGCGCTAATAAGAAACAATTAAAATCTTTGAACAGTCACATTTAGTCCAGCTTCGGCCTTTAAGCTTTTTATATCTTATATTCTTATATTTCTAATTTGTTGGAAAGGTCTGTTTTCGCTATAATATAACATGTATAACGTGCAAACGAAAAACTGGTAAAATCAGTAACAAATACCTGAATTACTAAAGAAAACTGGTAAAAAATCCTAACCTCATTAGGGGATTTTGCTTGATTTATAGATATTTTGTGTGGCATGCGTGAAGTCACCAGCAAACCTACTGAAATATAGCAGTAAAAGTAAAGCGTCTATTTAACGCTGATTCATGAAACAAAAAACACTATGGTCACCTCCACATCAGACCTCTGGTACAAGTATGATGTGAAACATCAGTATATTTATTACTTGCATTCGTGTTGGAAGGACAGAGTCACTAGTTCTATCATTTTTACATTCGTAAATATTGAAGAATATTTCAATTCGTAAATACAGTCAAGTAACCAGTTCCGGTGCAGGACCAGTTTCGGTTTCTTCAATGTCGTGTTCATTTGAAATAGTTCTGACATTTTAATATTTTTGTTGATAATGTCTACTTATCTGTTGGCACTTCACTTTCAAATGAATTGCTGGTTTTCTAGTAAAACAACATTGAATGAGTTGGAACTGGTCCTGTGTCAAAACTAGACCACTGATAGTAAATATTTTCTTGAAAGTTATGAAAGTTTTTCAAATATATATATTTCCCTTTGCTTTTTTTGGAAAATAGCAATGAAATAAAAAAAATCGATACTGGTAGCTTCGGTTATTGAAGGGGAATAATCTAATGGATAGTAACTATATAAGTAGGAGGATGTAAATCTTAAACGCATTTATTTTAATATATATATATAAATAAGTCATTCAAGAATACGATAACACCTTGTGAAAACAGAACTTAAATTTTACGAGGGCTGTCCCATCAGTTTGCATCACAGTTCCGTTATGAAAAATATATATAGGATATATAAGTTTTTCTATAAATACAGGATTTATTTTCATCGAGTGGTATGAAAATAAATGTTTCATGGGTGGCGGTAGCCACGATCAAAATTATATAATTTTCATACCAAAATATAAAATAAATCCTGTATTGACAGAAAAAACTTGAATTTTCTGTTTATTTTATACATTTTTTTAAATTACAATTTGAAAGATATCCCTCTAACTTTTGTGTATTGGGTGAATTTAGAAGAAAGTAGTCAGGCGAGACACCAGTGAAAATACGGAAAATATGTTTCACTGCAGTAAAAAATAAAATATTACAGTTAAAATACAGAAAATTAAAATATGCATTTTATTTCATCAATATTTCTCAGTATTTCATTTATAAGTATATAATAAAATACACTATTTGCAATTTTGAGAAAACATGTATTTACCTTTAAAACATATGATTAAATGGCTAAATTAACGCAAACTTCGTCTTTTTTAAATTTATATTTAAGTATATAAACGATTTTTTTGTCGACAAGATTCAAGATTTCAAGATTTTATTTCAAAAGTCGTTCCTTATTTCAAAGCAGATCTTTAATCAAAAGCATGATTTTCCGCGCATCGTTGACGCATGTATTCTATATCATTCATACAAAATTTTGATATCATACATTGTGTTCTTACAGCAGGCATGATTTACTAGAACATTTGCAAAGAAAAAGTAATCAAAATGACACAATTTGATGTTCAATGATTAAAATGTATCACGAGAAGACGATGTGAATATATGTGTATTGTTTGAAAATGTCACGAGCTATTATCAAAACTGCTCATGAGTTTTGCCAGCGATTTACGAGAGGAAGAACAACATTAACACCTGACGTCAGTTAAGGATTCACTAAAAAATAGGCACAAACGGACGAAAGTCTGCTCAGTATCTAACAAATAACGGATCATTAAAAGTTCTTCACATAGGGTATTAATAGACATTTTTGCTAACGGATCTCTACGTTAGGTTAGGTGCACAGCTCTTGGTCAAAGACGAAATAATGATTAATGATAGCTGACATATGTTACGGTGTGGTTCGGATCGGAATATCCGTCCCGAGGGGCCCGCAAATTGGGCGGTAACGAGGCTTGCCAATGGGCGGATTACTGAAGGACGGATATTCCGATCTACACCGCAAACATATTTTAGATGTTTTGTCTTGCATATTCAACCATATTCCATCAAACTCAAAAATCTCTGTCATTTTATCCAAAATCTTTTTCTTTCAATAGCGTATGAATTTACAACATTAATAACAACGTTGAAATGACGTCATCCTAAGCACATATTTTTCTTCTAAAATGACGTCATTTTAACTCGGATCATTCAAAAAATGCGCTAAAATGACTTTGATGTATGGCACGCGACTCATCTGGCACCCCACATGCCAGATGAAATTTCCTGCATGGGTAAAACTAACAGAAACGCCAGTCTGCTATGCAAAATATTTCAGTCCTTATAATGAGTAAGAATAAGATAGAATCATGTTGATGTCGAAATGACGTCGTGACTTGTGTCGCTACCTTTAAACTGCATAGTTAAAATGTCAAATCATTTGCTGCAACCGCAGATATATTTTGAAGTGGGCGGTGATATTGAATAAATTATATTTTTTGTTTCGCCTCGAAAACTTTAAAGATTGGTTGTTTCACATAATTATGTAGATGTTTGTAAAGAATACGATATATCAATAAAAACAAACAAAAATGACATCAACGTTTTATTTATTAATAAGTATTTGATAATTTTTCATGCTAAGATGCTAGTTATGAAAATAAGAACGACAACTGATCACATGCGTCGCCTCATGATAGCCAACTGCATTTTGCAGCTACTGTATAGACAAATACATAAAAATCATTACCAGGGCAAAACGAGTCTAATTCAAGGGCCATAACTCAGCTAAAAAAATTCAAACGGAAAACCCGTGCAATAGCGCAAGTACTGGAGGTACCAATTAATCCTTTAAAAATTCATTGAAATTACATAAGCGGTATAAGTGAGGTAGTCCGGACAAACTATAAAATAAAAGTATTGTTATTACCATACTCTGACACAAATCATTGAACCTGAAAATGCCGATGACATGCTCATTTATAATTACACTTGGTACTGATCATTTCTGTAAAGTTTTGATGAAATTGCACCAGTAGTTTATGATGAGTAGTACGGAAGTTTTGTGACGGACGGACTGTGAGACAGATGGACAGACAGACAGACAGACAGAAAACGTAGAATCGGTCCCTTTATGTCGCAACTACTCTTTTGTATATATCGAGCTTGTTATCAAAGAAACAATATCCTCTATAAAATCATTAACTATACAAACAGAAAAAGCAGCCAATGAAAAATCGGTTTTCAAATAATTGACCAATTAGGTATGTTTTGAAAACTATAAAAGTATGCCAAAAGAAAAAAAACTTTTGAGAAATAAAAATGCTAATCTTTCCGTGGCATAATGGGCTTTTTAAGATATGATAAAGTTGTATTGTTAAAAGAATGATCTGGACAATTCAGAACAAATAAATTAAAACTATAAATTCATTTAACTTAGAAATAGGACTTTCTAAAGTTTCTAAAAAGTCTGGCATTTTTTCAGCAGAGGCAAAGTGCAGTAAAGAAAATGACGTAAACAGATTTGGTGATAACTGCGGATTTATGTGCCATTGCAAGGACAATGAAGAGTGTGACGCAATTACCGGTGAATGTTCATCTGGATGTGCAAGTGGATGGTATGGACCCGGGTGTCAGTACAGTAAGTTTGTATTGCAATGATTGTAGTCATTTTAATATAATGATACAGGATTCGATTCTGAAATATATGTTTCACTATTCACACCAGAATAGATTAAACAATGGTAAGAAACAAGTAAAACTATTGTAGACACTTTTGCTTTTTATCTTAGAAGTAAAATAACATTCCATATTCATGCTTTATTATTTACGCAGCTTATTTACTATATATTCATGTGTCTAATATTTCTTTAAATGCATATGTTCCAGTGCAGTTTAAATAGCTTTGTCAACTTTGTTTTTATTTTTCTGTCGTTTTGCCATACATATTTGTTTCATTTTTTATTTTTGCGACGTTTTAGTATGCTCCGATGGTGTAAATCGCTTTAACTAAATAATTATGACTGTACTGTATGCAAAGAAACATATGAAGGAAAAATATCGTTAAAGTAACTCATCAATGATTAAATTTCTGAAAAATATCATAGGGCAACAAAAATGAAAAGCTTATTAGAAGGTTTTCAGAGGCAGAGTGAGCCTCTAAATATGTTCAAACCTTTGTTTTTATGGCTGGTGTTGTTGGTGGTGTTATTATTGTTATTGTCATCGCCTTTGGTGTTGTTTCTATAATATTATTATCTTGCATCAACTGGAAGAATTCATATTTTTATTATATACATTTATGCTTTAAAAGTAAGGTGCAGAGGTTGAAATTTCCGAACGATATGAAAATATCAATTGTGGTTTTGGCATGTTGATTTTAATGAATATTGCTTGATCCGAAAAATCAATAATTATCAAAATTCACGAAACTTATGACCTATACAGATTATTCTTTACTTTTTGTGTCAATCACATATTTGTATATCGATAAATGTTTTTTCAATCAGGGGATATCTTAGAGAACAAGTATTCAAACTTCCCAGATGCCAATATTACTGACGGTGATCCAAACACATGTTTCCAGCTAGTTAAAACTAGTACAACAAAAAATCTGTCATGGAGTGTGCGATTACCTTCTAACGAAACAATCAATGAAATACAACTTGTTACAACTGCTAAATCTTTAGGTAACCAAACATTTAAATATGTGTAGCTGTCTTTACTTAGAAATCTATGAAGTACGAAAAAACGTTTAATGATAGTAGCTTCTACAATTTCTAATACAGTTTTTTCGACAACGGCATTCATGTAAAATTATGTGAATACAATTTCTGTAAATAGTTCAGTAAGATAGGAAGACCTGTTAAAGTCGCCATTCTGTTATTTCAGTTTTTTAATTAGTAATGCAAAATTAAAACTAGAAATCGAGCGAAAAAGGACATTGTTAGGAGTTAATGTATATGTAATTATACATATATTGCCATATATACATTATCGCTTTTGTAAACTTACTTATTGATTCGAATAGACCCTTTTACGACGCGGTCCGTTGCTATGAAAAATCGATCGGAAGTAGTGTTTTATCGCGCATGCGCATTCTGCGTAGGACAAAAGAGCATCGCCTTACATAGAAATGTAGTGGAAGTTGTTTCTCATATCAAGGTTTTATATATATATATATATATATATATATATATATATATATAATTTACAAAATTCTTACTGAAAAAATCCACTGAGGTTTTGTGACAGGACGGGCATAACATATTTTACAAAATGATTAAGGTCTTACCAATAACTTGTAAGCAAATGTTCAACTCATTCTCCCACCCTATTTTCCAGAATAATCATTTTTATAGTGAATAAAAAAAGACCTAAAATGAAAAGAATTGCAAAGCTTTTCACACAAATCCAGTTAATAATGGCAAAAAATCAATTTTCAATTTAATTCTGAGTATATTTCTGTTATCATTTGCAGAAATATTTTCGTTTTAAGTGCTTCACTTGATATTTGTTAGATTTTCATTTTGTATATTTACCTTTGGACCTGAGTAGAGTTTCTTAAAATAATAGAACGAACAAAGTACGTATGGAAAGCTGCGTTCCTTACATCATGCAAAAATAAACTGGACCTTTCTTGACACATAAACTGCCAGTTTTTTAATGACACTACATTGTAAAGTGTCCACTAATATTGTGTAGGATTTAAAGTATACATCTTTTCCTTTTTGTGAAGTAAAGACATGTTTATTTTATATTTCCAAAAAGCATTTGTAGCAATTATCAATATTTTCATGTATCAAATTTGAGCATAGCACATCTTTACATCTTTAAAAATTCTAACTCGCCATCACGCCCCTGAGATTATATAATTGTTGTAAAAAGGTTGAATAGATCTATTAGCAAGAAAATATGTCAACTAAACTGTTGTTGAAATAGTTCATATAAAAACTCAAAAGATTTCAACAACGTATAAATCAAGGCTAATTATCATTCTGAAAAAAGTCGGACCAAGTGATAGCGCACTTTTATTTTTTGGCTTACCTGATTTTATTTTTTATCCGACTTGACTGTAATGTCAAACAGAAAAGTTTTAAGCCGCCACATAAATATGTTTATATAATGTTTCAAAATCTTGAGAAGTGAAAAACATTTTAAATGGTAAGTAAAAATAACAAACATTTTATCCAGTTTATCGTAACACATGTAAATGAACGTCACACTTTTTGTCACTTTACAAAATTAAATAAAAAATATAAGACTGGTATGTGCAAAAGATCGATAAAACTGAAACGTCCCGGTTGAATGATATTGTAAACTAGATCGAAAACAAGAGCCATGTTAACGTGGCTTTCCCCGCCAAATGTGTTTGCTCATTGGAAGAATGTTTATGTAGTAGAGCAGAATAATTCAATTCTAAAATGCCTTTTGGTAACTGAAGGCTGAAGTGATTACATATATGAAACTGATGTGAATACTGATTGCTGAAAATAACAAAGGGCAATAACTGAAAAGTAATGCAGGGTAGGTTACCATTCTTGTGTGCTGCCCTCCTCCTCAATGAGATCTATCCTTTTTTAGATAAGCTCCGGTAAAAGAAGGAACAATTACAAAGGGCAATAACTCAAAAATTATAAAGGGTACAATAAGATCTATCCATTTATGAAGTTTCAAATTGACATCTCAAAGTCTTTTTGAGTTATTCTCAATTCAGGTGAAAAATTAAGTATGAAAAATAACAAAGGGCAATAACTACAAAATTATGAAGGTAGAGTTATCAGTCTTGTGCACTGCACACCTCATAAGTGAGATCTATCCACCTTTGAAGTTTCATTTTGATATCTCAAAGGCTTTTCTGGGGTTATTCTCTGGACAAAAATTATGCAGAGGAGAGTTATCATTCTCTAGCATAGCACTCCTTCTGAATAACAGCTATTTACCCATGAAGTTTAAAGTTGATACCTCAAATACTTTTTGAGATATGCTCCGGACAAAAACGACGGAAGGACGGACAAAACTATTTCTATATCCATCACCGTCTTTCCGGCGGGTTTGACACTAACCGCCTTACCAATCCACGTAATCAAAGGAAATTGGCAATACAAATTGTGTAATATATTATCGCATAGTGCGATGATTTTTCTTTGACGTTCCACAACTGTTATATGGCCATAACATGCTTTATTGGTAATAATGCGTAGTGCAATATCTCAGATAACGCACACTTCTTTAGAAAAAGTGTGCGATATTTCAAATAAAGCACATGTATGTGAGTACACTTGGTTCATTTACAACTGTGATCGTAAATAAAACACACAAGGGTCAGTAAACTGTATGGATTTTTTCAGATTGCAGATAGAAAATGGGGTACTGGGAATATGGCTTTTAGTTTAGAAAAATAAATGTCTGGTGCATGAGCGAACTTGTGTATAAATCTTTTAATCCTTTTTCCTTTATGTAATTTGGTGCTGAGAGACACTGCCAGGCAGCCTTTACAGTTACCATAATTGAAATAATGTCAATTTCAAGTCCCAGAGAAAATAACCATAATCGCTTTGATGGAAATAATTCTAAAATCCATTTTTGACATGTCTTAATGCTGACCCAACGCCGGTTAGCATAAAACTAGCGCATAACAATTATTTACAGCAATGTTTATATGACTTTGGTCATCCAACAAATCAGGAATACCCACCATACTTCTGACTTGCTGTGGTTGAACATAAAGAAAACAAAAATCGGTAGTTTACATGTACCATTAAAAGTAACCGAGGTACTGTTGAACTCTCGGGTATTCTCTACAGAAAATTATCTATGCCTTACGGCCTCAACCATTTTCTGTAGAGGAAAGCCCTCGATGTCGCCCCAGGCCATGACATTTCTACAAAACAGTATGTCGTTATACTATAACTATTACATACAGGAGTAATAGAATTTAATCTTTTACACTCTGCTGTTCCAATTTAAATTACTGATGGGAAAGTCGTCCAACGATATCCTTTTTAACCTTTGAATTATTAATCCTGCATTTTCGTATAATTTATCTGTTATAAATATCAATTCAAGTTTAACGTATTTTTCGTTTTGAGTTATCTAAAAATTACTGTTTTACTAGCAAACTATCGTACACTTTTATCGGTCTTTTATCAAAATAAACTTTTCTGAACTTATTGTTAATCTTTTATTTTCCATAAATTTTTATGAAGCTGCTGAGTATTGATAAAATGTATTCTTTTGTTATTGCTTTTTTGTCCTACGCAGAATGCCATGCACGAAATGCAACATCCGTAACTATGGAAATACCGTGGCGTAAAAGGGTGCATATCATTGATTCATTTTATTTTCAATAGCAGATTTATCTTCAAAACGATACCATAAACAAATGTATTATTATTATTGCAAGTACGAGAAGAAATGTTATCTATTTTTCAGCTTATTTCAAAATCTTTGAAGGTTTTGTAGGATATAGTCCATCTACAGGAAACGATGATGTCGTTAATCAGCAAAGGTGTTTTAGACAAGGAGTTGGTATTCCAATATCAGCAACGTTTACGGTTTTATGTGATAATCCTGTCATTGGAAATTATGTGAAAATTGTGTTTGCAGAATTGCCAAACGAACTTGAACTTTGTGATGTGAAAATAAACGGAGGTACATTTATAATCTCATATTTGTTCTTGATAATGTATTATTGTATCGTTTACCAATTTAGCTTTTAATTAACTTTCAATAAATGAAATAATATTTTGCAACAATGTATATACTTTATGTCTTATGAGTGATAAAAAAGTTCTCGTGTAGTCAATGAAAAAATGAAATTCACATCAAAGGTTTATAAGAATATTTTATACGGTGAATTCATACAAAATCAATAGTGCGTTGAACTAATGTTGAACTTACTTTGATCTACTTTCATAAACGTATCTAAGTGTTAATTGAGCCAATTATTAATTTAGTCGTCAAGACTTTTGCGGATGTTGTTCAATACATGCCATTTTTTTAATTTTGTTTATTCAGGTAGAAATTTAGCGTTTAATCGGGCAGTTTCACAAGTATCAAAGACCAAAATTTGTGGTTCTACATACTGCAATGCTTCAGAGTCTGTCGACGGACAGACAAGAGAATCTAATCAGTGGCATTGTAGTTATACAGCAAATGAAACAAATCCGTGGTTGAAAGTGGATATTGGTTATCAAATAAAAATATGGAGCGTTCAGATAATATCTTTTATAGGTATTAAAAACGGAAATTATTGAAAAAGAAATAAAGTTCAAACCCTGACCAGTTCTAAATGAAATATTGAATACTACATTTAATATATATTGCATGTTAAGTCCTTCGTTAATGTATACTTGTGTTGGAAAAAGTTATGAAATAATGTCTTTTACTTGTCTCTTCATGTTATAATTTCTAATGTGACCTGTCACAAAGTGACAATGTGAGCCATTGTGAACACAATTCGCCTGGCGTTGCGTCCGTCCGTCCGTCCGTCTTCCGTCCGTCCGTAAACGTTTACTTTAAACTACATCTCCTCCTACATCTCTTGGTGGTAAACTTTAAAAAATGTTTAAAGAATTTAATTCCATTCAGAACTCTGGTTGCCATGGCAACGGGAAAAAAACTTCTTCTTTTAAAAAACCGAAAGAGCTAAAGCTGAGATATTTAGCATGAAACATCTTCTAGTGGACGTCTACCAGGTATTTGTGGTCATTGATTTTCATTATATGTATATAGTAAAATCATAAAAAATATCTGCTTCTAAAAAAGCCGAAAACCTAGAGCTGAGTTATTTAGCATGAAACACCTTATAGTGGATATCTACCAAGTTTATTCAAATAAAATAAAATTCAAATCAAAATTTGCCCCGCCTAAGGGTGTTCATTGATTTTCATTATAGGAAAAAAAATACAAAAACTTTAAAAACAAAAAACCAAAAGAAAAAAAGCCCCAAAAACAACATTAAAAGAGCTAGAGCTTAGATATTTAGCATATAACATAAATGAGTGTCTACCATGTTTGTTCAAATAAAATATCTGGGTTTAAAATTGGCCCCGACCCAGGGGGCTATTGATTTTTCTATTCGTATGTTTATAGTAAAAAACAACAACAAACAATCGTCATCTAAAGAAGCCAAATATCTAAAGCTTAGTTATTTTGCATGAAAGATTTTCTATAAGGCGTCGACCAAATTTGTTCAAATTAACTCCCTGTGATCAAAATTAGACCGCCTCAGGAGTCATTGTTATCCTTATATGTATATAGTATAAATACAAAACAAAAAATGAGAGGTGGAGCTCTTCCAAAATTGTGCAAATCATAGCACTCGGGTCAAAATTGCCCCGCCCGGGGGAACATAGATTTTCCTTATATGTAAATGTACATGTATATAGTAAAAACGTTAAAAAATCTTCTCTACATCTACAAGAGCTAAAGCTTAGTTTCCATATCAGACAGTGACTTTATAGCAGCCATTGATTTTTTATAGCAACCAGTGAATCTACCATTGAATTTCATAGCACCGACTTCCAAGGAAACCGTTTAGATTGTATGGCAACATGAACAACATATAGAACTATTGTTTTTCCCTTAGCGATAGTAACCATTAAAGTGTTTACATGTACCTTTTTCAGATATACAAATATGAACTTTGTGATATCAGTTTATGATTTAGATTTGGTATCTGCTTTCGCTTGTAGTTTACAATATTACTTGTTCCTTGTCATGGAGAATATTTATATTTAGGTGAGCGATATTAGGCCATCATTGCTATCTTGTTTTGTGATAGAATTCCCTTAAATGCAGTTTACGTAAAGAAAATTTAAGTATGTTTATTGAAGGAAATAAATACAACAATAAATTATATATGTTTATTGCAGATGTTGTTAACATGCATATCATTGAATTATTTTCAGATGAGGATCATAAGAACTTACCATATACCGTGAACATAACAAATGATACTAATGACACAAGCACCTACAACACAAACGAACTTTCAACTAATACACAAACTGTTGCATTAGATTTGATTGGCAGGTTTGTGACGCTATCAATAAACGGGGAAATTAAATTAGCAGTCTGTGAAGTTTCTGTTTTTGGAGGTAATGTCTTTTGAAATGTGATATTTCAGCTTTGACATGTATAATTCCACTTTAAATACCTACAATGCATAGCTTTGTGTTTATTGTTTTAAGAAATATAAGTAATGAATGCATTTCAGTACCTCTGTTTTCATGTCTTTTATACATATGTATTTCTATATAACGGAAAATTTGGTTGTTTTATTGTTTTCATCTTATTGTTTTGTTTGCCTTTTTGGCAGTCTGGCACTGTTATGTTGTATTGTGACATTATAGTTTTTCTGGTTGAGATGTCACTTGAAATAAATTTTTGACTCAAATGGGTTCCTTCGTAGAATATCCAATTTTCTGCAAGCCAACTTGATAGTTTTCCACATAACTGAATGTAACTGATAAAATTTACACAAACAGCGGTGAAGTAGGTTATTTAAAGCCAGTCAGCTGAACTGCCTAATTTAGATAGAGTAAGTACGTTGTACAGTTTTGATAAAATGTGTTTGAAAAAACAAGAAAGTGATTAAATCAAAATATTTCGTCTGCATCAATTGTTTGCCAGATTGTCCAGAAAAAAAGTGTGGGTACAATTGCGAGAAAGAATGTCATTGTGAGAACGCAACAATCTGGGAGAAAATTTCTGGAAATTGTTCAATCAGTTGCAACAAAACGGACAAAGATGATCAATGTAATACAAGTAAGTAAAACTAAAATAAATAATAATAATAATAATTAGTATTATAATAATGATTATAATGAGAACAATCTGGATAGTATCATGTACAATAAAATAACTGTTGATGTTTGTCCTATTAAATTGAGAATGCACATAAAGATATAAACAAACAGGCCTCACAAATACCATATTTAGTAATTATTGAATGCAAACGTTCCGGCTAGAAGCCTTTATTAGTGCAAAACATAATGAAATTACCTGAAGCAACGTCATAACGAAACACGCGTTCATCACGCAAAACACGTTTTGTCGGTTTGCGTTAAAATATTATAACATGTAGAAACAAATATTTATATTATTAATGAAGCTGGTAAATGCATCAAAATGGATCAATAGTGATTAAGATGCATATAAGGCACTGTTTACAAAAAGGAGAACACAGTAGTCATGTAACAATTTGTTTATCAGATAATACCTTATTATAAAGGCCATTGGAATTATGGTATTTAATGTATGGATCCAAAATGATTTTTTACATAAACTTTCTATGCTGCTTTATACAATTTCTATAGGCAAAACTGAAAAATGTGATAGTGAACAATTAAATTGATCCGGAATGGATCGCAACATATGAAATTGGATTTACATTACATTATTTTATATCAAACCTGTGTTAATTTTATATGTTTAATGCATTTTGATTAGTCTGACCTTCGTGTGCATATTACAGTCTTTTACATGTAAATAACATTGCGTGTAGTGCAGTTAACATCATTATTTTAATCAGAAGAACAACCTGTAATACTGCTGTTTAATTGTAATGTTACTATGTGAACATTTATGTCTTAATCATTTACTTAATTAAAACTTTCCATAAAGCAAAAAACGCTTCATAAGACAATCCCGTATTTTTTTTGAACGTCTATCAGCAAAAATAGAATAAAGCGCTTGTTATGTAAAGATTAATCATTTTCTTTCATTTCACCAATATTAGGCAGAGATGTATTGAAGTTACATCAAATAAATTTCATAAAAAAGAAATAGCTACATTTCGTTAATTAAATATGTTTCATATCGACATCCCTTCTTGTTTGGTGCCCAAAAACCAAAATGAGTTTTATATGCTATAAATCTACAACCTCATTGTGGCGAAATCGGAAGTACAATTTCTATTTGCATGAGAAACTCCGCCTTTGGGTCATCAGTTCATCAATGGAAAATCAACTTACATTTTTAAGAAGCAGTCCGAAGTTAACGGTATATTTCCGCATTATATTACGGATGTTTTCATACAAATTCAATTTTTTTATGAGATGATCACTTTTTTTGTAAACGACATGGCTAATGCACCATAAAACTAAAACGGTAAAAGTTTGTTTGCACACAAATAGATCTATCTCCTATTTGCTGTGATCCACATGATAACAATTGATTTTACCATAGTGACGTAGCGCATACAAGAGCTTATTATACAAGTCTTCATTTGCATGTTAAAATTCGTATACGAACTTTAGTGTTCTTTTAAAATCATAACTTGTGAACAATTTCTAATGAGGTTTACAACAATACTGTTAAAAATGTTAACGAAACTATAGAATGCTTGGTTTGTAAGCCGACAGAAAAAATATGTTTACTTATTTTATTTACATGATAAAGGACGTAAAATTAAAAATACAGATAGCAAAATATATCGTTAAATGAATTAAGCGAATTAAGCGTTTCCAAAGAATGTTCAAAACCATGAAGATATTATTTAAAAAAAAAGTAGCCAGGTTTTATAAAAAAGGGAAGTAAGAAATTGCTGTTCTATGAATAATGAATCATAAGAAAGTTCTAAAGTGCTTCACATTGCCGTGCCCAACGTTTGTAAATGATTTTTATCATTAAGATCAAAGCATTTGTTGTGTAAAACAATGTTTGACAATTTCCGTACATAATCAGCTTTGACATTATAAATTACCATTATCTGTCGTCAAAAAATATAACTAGAGTCATTATCAGAAATATCCGTTTATAATGATGAAACATTAGGTAACTAGATAGGTTTCTATGTTAATATATCTTTGATATACGAAGGCGAACATTACATATATCTTTTTTTAAAAGTCTTTCGTATTTCGTAAAAAGTATTTCGCTATGTTCTATCAGTACTGGAGCTACATGCTGAAACAATGGGATGACCAGGGAATCCGAGAAGAAATTTCTCATCTCTAGTCAGTTGGCGGAAACATGAACACTTGTTTAGTAATGCTTAAGTTTCTTTCTTCTATTTCAATTACACATTCTTGTTTTGCTGTTGTTCTGTTTTGTCTGTTTGTTTTTGGTTGTTTTTTATTGGGGTGTTGTTGTTGTTGTTTCTTATGTTATGTGTTTTTTGTTGTTTTTTGTTTTGTTTTGATTTTTTGTTTTTGTCTGCTTTTTAAATATTTGTATCTTGAATGAGAGGTATGTAAACGATTGAAGTAAATGGTGCAATGTGGAAAACGTCGCTGTCTAGAAGAGTGTTAAATTCATTACTTATATCTTCAATATAGAGATGAAATAAATATCTCTCCCTCTAGGTATGGTAATATTAAACATATTGTATCAAAGAATGGTAAATCTTGATGCTTGTTTTTGTAAATAACATGCTCATTTAAAACTACAATGTAAAAGAAATAAATTGCGATGGACGTTAATTACGTTAACATTAATAATTTTATTTGTGTATTATAGACTTGTGCTATTTGATATTAAATTTTTAAGGAAATGGTGATTCTTGAGTGCTTGACATGGCTTCATTTCTGACGTTCGTGTGTTCATTTATTGAAACCATTTGATATTTTGTTTGAAAGAAATTATGCAGTGTGATTCATAATGAATTATTTTAATTCTAAATATTTTCTTCTTATATCACCTTAGATGTTTGAACCTATGTGTATAATGAAACAATATAGCGATATAGAATGTCATATTTACTGTATTAGCCTGCAAAAATAATGATTTTAAGTGTGGGCAAAATTGTTTGAGGGATGACTGCAATACGAAATCCGAAGAAAGTTCTAAAGGTTGTAAACCAGAATGGGTTATTAAGTTCTGCACCCACAGTTAGCATTTGTTTTATCTTTCTAAGTCATTAGCATTTTAAGAATGTTGAAATCATTTGCAATTTTAATTCTGTTAAATAAGTAGTAATGTGCAATGAAGCAGGAGTATACAAGCTGTTTGAAATATTCACGTATCAGTAAGCAAATCAATGAAAAAGATTGCAATAAACACACATGGACTAGTAACATTCGGATATAAACATTTCATCACGATACATATACTAAGGCGGATATTACCCTTCATAGTTATTACGTTGTCAATTAATTAATTAATAATCTTTGACGGGACGGATATTAGCTAATGTAATCTACAAAGGATAAATATTGCTATGAAAAGTTCAAAGTAGCGCATTATTTTATTGAAGTAAAAATATGCAATGATATTAACACCAAAATGCTCGAAGTAAATGCAATCAAAGTGTGTTTCAATAAAATATTTTTGTGTATTGAAACTTTAGATGGAACATGCAAATTAAACCATTAATACAGTGTTGACAGAAACATATTAAGTCTTGGATGATGAACTTCATAACTTACAAATTTGAATAGATTAGTGGAATCCGACAAGAAAAGTAATTTGTCAAATCTCAAAATATGTACAATTAAACCAGTTTATATGTTCAATGACGTCATCATATCAGAAGCTAGGACAATGAAATACCTAACCTGAGTGAGTCATAAAACTTCAAAATAACATACAAAATATTCATATATAATATCTCTAAAGAACGCCCAAAACGGAACCCTAAGGATATGTTGATTTCAATTTTGCCGTTCGGATGTTCTTTTGTTAATCAAGTGTGACGGAAATGTACTTTATAGTTAATTTGATTGCCTCCCCTTTTTATAAGTTCGCCATTTGCATCAGAAAAAAAAATATTACAATTCATTCGTAAATTTAATTAGATAGGAAGAGTAGGCATTTTAGTTGTTTTTATCGCCAAATCGATATAAGTCAGCAGAATCATCCAATGTATTTATATTTTGAATTGCTTGTTTACTTACAATAATTTGTATGGAAATTTACTTAAAATAACAGACGCTCATAAGGTTTAGTTAAAGTCAGTTTCAAGAGACGTTTTATTATTTTAGCCAAACAAAATCATTGTTTTTATTCACTGCGGAGATGATGCTTCACAAGCATTATAAATAGAGCGTGTTCAGTGTTAAAATTCAGTTTGGTCCTGTCCGTTGGAGAGTGGAAACGAGGTCATAAATACTTACTGGTACACAGAAATCTTAGATTTCTGGTACTAAGGACGTTTTATGATTTCTGTAAAATTCCTTGGGCATAAATATTTTAAGAAATAGATATTTTAATTAAGTTTTGGTTTGGCTCCGGACCGTTAAGATCGAAGTTGTAATTATATTTACTAGTACCCAGTCATCTTAGATACTGGTGCTAAAATATCTTTGCATCTTCAGGAATTATTTTATGATTTAAATAGTTAGTCTGCCTGTTGTCCTTGTAAGAGTTGGATATAGGTGATATTGTATTTACTATTACCCATGTATCTTAGATATCTGGTGCTAAAACTACTTTATTGCCTAAGTTAAACCTCTTGGACAAATGTTTGATAGAGATTAGTTTATTTGAAGACATTATTTAAAGAATTGGTTTTTGAACGTTTTATGATAAGAGATTGTTGATTTGAAATATTAAAGTAAGAAATAAGAGATAAGTTTAAGAATATAAATTTTAGTTTGTTTGAAAGTAAGTGTGAAAAGAGTTTAATTGCTTCTTGAAATATATATTTTGAATAATTTAAGAATTAGTTGAAGATTGTTATTTTTGCATTTCATTATTTCTAGAGTTTTTATTAAGTTGATATCTAATCAAAAGGTTAAGAAACCACAAGAACAATTTATATTTGAATATTCTTATCAATTCGGATAAGAATCCCAAGAATAATTAAGAATTTGTATTTTGAGAATATTGTGATTTTATTTTGTAGCTATAGATTAAATAATCAACAGCTCGGTTCACGCTACACAAGTACAGCTCACTTCTTGCAGACTTTAAGTTAATGGGTTACATATGACTATGGTACTATTAATTTGTCTGGAAAATCTTAAATAACATCATTTAAAAAATATGTCTCCAAAAAGACTGAATTCAAGAGAAGTTTAATTATACGGTCATTTATTATCATCCTCAGAGGCATAATAAATTGCCTAAAGTGTTCTATAATAAAAGTAAACTTTAAGAATGTTTGTCAAAATTATTGTACAAACGGTAATGGCTGTTATGTTCAGTACTGTTTTAAACCTTGCAATTAATATTGTAAATAGCATAATAACAATTATTACGAAATGCCTCCATGCAAAACATGCAGCAAGTATTATCACGATAGATGCAGTATTAATGTACTCATTTAACCAAAGTACCATTTCCATGTTACTAACTATCGAATACTAAATATACTTTTTCGAATATAATCATAACAAATAATATCATATTTAAGATACAGTTTGCGACGATGGTTATTATGGTAAGGACTGTTCTAAGAAGTGTAGCAAACATTGTAAACTTGGGAAGAAATCCTGCGATAGGGTCAACGGACACTGTAAAGAGGGTTGCGAAAATGGATGGATGAAACCTTTGTGTACGCAAGGTAATATTTCGTTTTTACTATCTTCAAATTCCATTCTGTTTTAAGTTAGGAGGTATGGTCTAAACTTAGTAGCCAATGACAAAAAATCAATTGGTCATATTAGAAATGAGATTTGTTTTTGTGGCTTTGAAGGCACATTATGCTTCAGAATTGTTTCTTCTTCGAAAAGGGCGAATATAGAGATTAAATTAAGCGGTTTAGAACATGTTCGATGCTTATCGCCTGAGAAAAAATGTAAACAAAATTGTATTTAAATACTAAATCACTACAAAACTTAGTGTTCTATTTGCCAAAAAACAACAACAGCAAATGAGCGTTCAGATAAATGGTCAATGAGTTTGTTTTTTTGGAAAGTATAAAAGGATATCAGAAAAAAAGGTTTTTGGAAATAAAAATATAAGCATTTATGAAGCATAAGAGGCCTTTAATTAAAGATGAAATATCAAGAATGATGTTTTTCTCTTTATTTATATACTTGATTATCTTTTTCTTTCTTTCGTTATTAATTTATTTACAGTGGAACCTGTCTAATCCGAACTCGTCCAGACCAGAAGAAAAGTTCGGATTAGAAAGGTTTCCGGATTAGAAGGGGTTTTTTTTACATATTTTTTACATATTTGTTCATGTTATTGGCAGAATAGTTTAAGGAAAGAAAACGGGAATGCATGTGAAATTGCAATATTAATATTTTATTTTTGCAATCTCTTATCGTTAATTAAACATAAGAATTGAGTTTATTAAACATGGGAATACAAAAAAAATATAAAAAAATAGATAAGCAAAAATATTATATCATCAAGGGTAAGTTAATCTACGATGTTAAACAGAAGGCTGAGACATAATTAAATATTCGTACCAGCATTTGTCAATTGTTGTTTACTCTTATCTGATTCAGTGATTATCCGAATTCACTGACAGTTTCCATTAATTTTCATTACCTAATCACATGTCATTAAATTCGTTACAAAAGATTAAAAGATATTTCTATTGCATCATATCAAGATATTTATTGAAGGTGACGAAAACAATCAATTAAGCAATTATAGAAGATATCAAGGAAAGCTTTGTGTAGTTTTCATACCTTAACAGATCATACGTTTCAACAATGAATCAAGAGAAATTACTCTGATCAGTTTGGTGTATGTGCAAGATGTGCGATTTTTTTGTTAGTTTGAATTTAGGTGTGACATTTTTCAAAATATGTGCGGATACCAGAGATTAATTTTAGAGTAAAATAAGAACAAAAATTGAAAAAATCGTTCGGAATTCGGAGTAGACAGGTTCCGGATCCGAAAGGTTTTTTTACTATTGAAAATAGAACGAAAAGATTCGGCATCGGAGACTTCGTTCGGATAAGAAAGATTTCCGGATTAGAAGGGTTCGGATTAGCAAGGCTCCACATTTTATTTATTTATTTTTTTGGTTGGTTAGTTTTGCTTTTAATTAAATTATGTTCTTAGTCAAAGAAACTCCACTAATGTCCAAAAGCCACACTTTTCATTTTTGGGTAATTTTTCATAATAAGAATAACTATTCTGGAATAATAGAGTGAGCAAGTGACCTGAAACTTTGCATGCAAGTTGTTGGTCTTGATCTTTTTCAAATGGCATCAGCTTCTAAAAAATATTTTCAGTCCTGTAAAAAAGCGCAGTGGAGTGCCTTTCACAATTAAATTAGGACCGGTCAAAAGTGTTCGGAAAAATGAAAAAATAAATCGTTAAAATGAGTATTGAGACTGCTACAAAGTCAATGAATTGTGCTCTTATTGGTTCGGATAAGGCGCAAATGATCTTTATGTAACTAAGCTAATACTCTGATACAAAAAACCACAACAAAACGTCACATTTAGCCGTTTGTGCACATGTATACATTCAATTTGATCTATGAATCATACTAAATATGTTATGCTTAACATATTTTTTGTCACCTGATTGTATTTATTTAAAACTATCATCCTAAAAATGTAAAACAGCCGTTTTCCAATATATATTTGTATATACTTATGATGTTTCCTGCTTTTGTGGGACTTGTGCATTTTGTAAATAAATTGTCGAAGATTGCTCAGCGGGTGGTTAATGAACTTTGGGCCCAGACCGCCAAACACATAATTAGTCAGTGACACAATTAATTGAATCGTAGAAACATTTGTTATTAGTTACGGTAACAAGTGGTTTAGACGCGTGTGATGTTTGCGTGTCATTTTTAAATGCGTTAATGAATAAATGATTATGTCTTGCTGTAAACTTTTCTTCTTTTATGTGTGTGGTAAACAAAGATTATTTTATTCGTTTAGCTTCATTGCTGAATTTATTGAACTAGCCGAAAAAACTAATGTTTGCCAGAGGGTTCGCATTATATAAATTTTATTTTACTTGAATTGACATTTAATTTCATCTATCATCACGATCAAACAAAAGGTCATACTGGTTTTCTATGAATATCGGTATTAATTTGAAAATACAGTACGTCAACTTAAACAAAATGAAAATATTTTTTTGTTATTAATTATCCTAAATTAAAATGAATTTTATCTGAATGAATATAAATATAATTTATATAAGCATACTTAATGTGTTCATTCAAGCTTTTCAATCTTATTCTATTTGCATTAAACTTAAATAAACGTAAACACACAAGGACACATCAAGAACAAATCATTTTTTATATAAAACGAATGAATGAATATGTCAGTTATCGTGTCTTCTAATCCGTTAAGAATGTCTTTTGAGATCGGTCGAGGGCCGGAATATTGACTAAATCTTATTTCGTTTTAGTAAATACAACAGAAGCTGATTCTTACTTTGAAACATAGAAACAAAAATATCATAATTATCCATATGCATCACATTAAGTTTACTGCATTTTTTGTTAAATTAAACGGTCGCCATTCATACATTTATAATAAAAAAGTCAATTCACAGACAAATGTACCAAAGTAAAAGTTTGTATGCTCATAAGAAGACAACATCACGTGCAATAACTTAATAAGTGCTTCTATATTTAATAGCAGTTATTGAGTTCTTGCACTGAGGTGACGATTATTCAATTCAACAAACATTTGCACACTTGTTCTATCATCAAATACGACTAAAATTAATGAAACGTTTCCTATAAAAAGTAAACATATTGGACATATTAAAACAAAATGGTATACGTTGTCTACACATTTTTATCTTATAATAAACACAAAAGTTGGTTTCTATAAACTTTGTTACTGCCTCGCCCGCCAACTTCATTATCAAGCTGGTGAGAGAAAGCGACAAATACATTTTCAAGTCATATAAAAAATCTTTATATGAAAACGAATAGCTCTATGTCGTTTCCCAAGCCATTTGCCGTATAATTAAGCTCATTTATGCCAGCAAATGCATAATCCTAGTGTACAGATCATGATAGGTTATTGCTACCGTAAATTTGTTTATCTGTGCGGTGGCGGTGGTTTTGGTGTTGGTAGTTTTCAATTCGGATTACGACAGTAATCCACAATCATTATGGATTTAAAATAACCAGAGCACAATTCAATCACTGCATTTTTCCTGTTTGTTATTGTATAAGTATTGTAGTGACAATATTTGTTACATTCTACGTCGTCTCACTTTTCAAGACAGTCATGTATTTTCCACAAACATAATTAAACTAAATTGTTTAGTCGAAACATTACAGTCTTGTTATTTAAGCTACTCTTCCACAAACACCGGGTCTAAAAACAAACATAAACATATTTGTTCTCAGCAATTAAATATGCAAAGAAGTAAAATTTGAAGTTTTCACGAGATGACTGTGACCTAATGGTTGTTATGTTTTACTTGACACAGATATAAAAACCTTTAGTTACACCCGTAAACATGTTGCTAGTAGGACCGGTAGAATTTAATATATAAATATCAGTTTAAACCGGATTACCGATTCATGATTTGTCCAACAATATTGACCTGGCACTTCATTAACTTTTGTAAAGGTCATTTGAATAAACACTGACCAGATCTATCAGATTTATCTTTATACATGAATTTGCTAACTCCACTCGTCAGTGAGGTGTGGTGTATTGGTATTGATTTCGATTTCGGACTACCGATACGAAAGTCTTTGGTTCGATTCCTTATTAACACCACGTTAAGATATTTTTTTTAATTGTATGGCAAGAATAAATTTGAAATTGTTTTTCTACACCTGATTTTATAATACCATTTAAGTTGTGTTTTAATACACATTATATTTTGTATTTCATTACAACATCTTTCAACAGTTCCCTTTGTGGCACTATGTAATCGTATATGCTTTAGCGCATACACGCTATAAAGACAGTCATTAAGGTATGAGCCCCCTAATGGGCACTATAAGGAACTATAAAATTGACAACATAGGTCAGTTATATACCTTAAAAGACACAAGAATGCAAAATTTAAACAAAGTTTACCGTATGGTTTACGAGTTATGAAGATTTTCCTAAAGTAAAACTTGTTTATCATATTTTTTGGCTATTAGAAGGGCTCTTTTTCAGAAATGAGAAACTCTAATTATTCTTTTATATAATTTTTATGAAATAATGTTTTCCTATAGAAAATATTTTAGAAACAAATAATAGCATTCAGCTAACAAATGACCCAGCAAAATTATTGTTTCTACTCAAAATGTTTGAAATATGTATATAAATGTTACCCTACCCCACCCATTTTAAGTAGTTGTTTGATCATTTTTCTACTTGGAGGGCCTTATTCAAAATATCCCTAAAATTTACTCAAATCAGGAGCTGTTTTCAAAGTTTGCATAAATTTTCGTTAAAGTATATTGGACGCGCTTGTCAAATATAAAATACTTTTACCGTCTAGTTTTTATTTTATTAGACTTTGAAAAAATCAGGTACCATTTTTGATAATAAATTTGGCACAATTTAGCCAAAAGATACCAATAATAATTTTATAATTAAAATGAAACACTTTTTTCTTATCAAGAGTGATCTGAGAGACACAAATAATGTTCAAAGAAAAAAAAGAAAGAAA